TTAAAATAATTTCTGAAGGCCACCAACAGCTTGCTATTATCAGTTGCAGAGGGAACTTTCTGTGCTTACCTTGTACCACCTTTAAGGCATTGCTGCCCCCCGCATGTCTAACCTCAGTTTGCCCTTTGGCCGCCTGGCCTCTTACTGCTCAGTTCCTAGGACCTGCTGCTGAGCCCCCTGCTTGCTCTGTGCTCTCACTGGGAATCTTAGCCATCATGTTCTCAATTATACCTGCAGTTTACACATTTGCTCAAAGTTCCAGACTCATCAGCAACATATGTCTACTTGACTTTTCACATTTTAAATTTAACATACCCCAAAGTGGAATTACAGCTTACCTTTTAAATGTTCTCACAACGATCCACCTAGCTGTTCGATTCTGGAATCTGGGAGTTCTTGATTTTTCCCTTTCCTGCATTTCCCATTTCTAGTTCAGTAAGCCTTCTCCCAGAACATATCATGGATTCCTCCACTCCTCCCTCTGTCACCATCACACTTTTCCAGACTGTCATCTACTCTCATATAAGTCACTGTAGGAAGCTTCTTCACTGGTTAGCTTTTCAAAGAGATTTTACATATTATTTTGTTGTAAGGAATGACTGGAAACAAATATCAATCACTGAGACACTAATTAAACATTTGTGGTAAGAGACTTGTGAATACATTGGGTATTTGCCTTGAGTGCATTTGCAGTCTTCACACAGCCACTCTTTCCCTTTCACTCACCCAAACTTGCAGTTATTTTGTCAGTTACCCTTCCTTTCAGCATGCAAGATCTGAAGGAGCAGGGTCCGAATGGATTTTTTTTCACAATTTTATCTCTAGCATCTCTTGTAGTATTTGGCACTCAGTTAAGAAAAATGATTATGTCTCAGATAAGGTTCTACATGGCATCCTTATTGGTAAAACATTAAAAGCATTCCATTGAATTCAGGAGGGAGAGAGTCGGCACCATTGATTTGTTCATTGTTCTGGAAGCATAGCCACAGCGATTAGACAAGAAAATGAGATATGAAATTTAAAGATTGGAAAAGAAGAGGTAAAAATAATTAATTGATAACAACTATGTACTTTGGAGAAAAAATACAGATTAACAGAAAATGTAATGGAAGAATTGTTCTTTTGAGCCAACCCTTTGTTTTATAGTAGCTTGATCAAAGTGATTTTGCTGTATTTGATACTTCACCCTAAATATACTCAGACTTAAAAGAATGGCAAGAATAATACATATATTCCTCACTCAGATTTTCTTGTTGTTTACATTTTCCCATTTGGTTTATCCATATTAGTATGGATACATACTAATACATATATTACTTGTGTCATTCTTTTCGTTCTGACACATTTAAGAGTTTATTAAAGCTATTGCCTCTCAGTTCCCAGATACTTTATATTTCCTAAGAGCAATGATTTGCTTTTCTGTAGCCAGTTATCAAAATAAGTAAACTTAACATGAATTTAAGATTATTATCTAACTTTTTATATTCCAGATCTTTTGCCCCAATAATGTACTTTATAGCTATTTTTCCTCCTGGATCTAATTAATCTAGGACCATACATTGCATTTTGTTGCCAAGTCTCTTTAGTTACCTTCTCTCTAGAAAAGTTCCTCAGTCTTGGTATTTCATAAACTTCAGATTTTTGAAGATTACCAATCAGTTATTTTGTAAAATGGCCCCAATTTTGATTAATATGATGCTTCCTCATGATTGAATGGAGGTCATTTTTGGCAGGAAAACCATAGAAATTATATCATTCCCTTCGTATCAGGAGTTATCTGATGTCATTTATCTCCACATGTTGATGGTAGATTTGACCATTTGGTGTCTTCTAGGTTTCTCCCATAGTGCTACTTTTTTTATAATTAATAACTTGTCTGCAGAGTGACACTCTAAATACCTGTTTTTCGTCACATTTTCATTCCCTAGTTTTAGCATCAGTGATTTTCCAGCTCCATCATTCTCTTATTTTTATTAGTTATATTCTACTGTCAGGAAGAGCTTTTCTTTTTCCTTCATTTGGTTGTTTATATTTGAGTGGACTCATTCTTCTATTTATTCAATGAGTTGCAATTCATTTTCCATGATAGGATTTCTGTATTTTGACTTCTTCCAGTGTATGTTCTGGTCATATAGAATTTCTCTGCCATAAATCCTTCTCTCCTTGAGTTTTTCAGAACATTTTATATACCTTTGTTACCAATCCACCACACTCTAAAAATACCACCCTGACCTCTCCACACACAGAGCTTTCCCAAACTAACACTAATCAAGCTACGTGTTTTCCTTTGTTGTTTGTTTCCAAGTTCATGTGTGTTGAATGAGCTTACATATTACAAATTAAGGGGTCCTTGCTTAACAGATCACGTGATTTAGAGATAGAAATTCCTCTGCCCAACAACAGCAAACTTGTTAACAAAGTTAGCCACCTCAAGAATTAGAATTTTTACTTAATAACAAAAAGATAGGACTGTAAGGTAAGTACAGTTGGGGGGGAACTTGTTGGAGGCAGGAGGGTGAATGAAGGAGATCAAGGTGAGGGAATATGGTTGATAGACTTCATATACTTATATGAACTAGAACAATGAAACCTCTTGCAATTTTTTGAAATGAGGCAGGGAGGCAGTCAAGGGGGAGAGATGGTGAGGACGATCTAACCAGTATACAATATAAGCCTATTCAGAATTGTCACAATGAATCCCCCCTGTACAATGAATGTATCCTAATAAAAATGTCAGAATTTTGAATTTTATTATCTTCAAGTTCAGCAAAAGAAACATTGCCTGGGCAAAAGATGACAGATAGAATGAATGGTGACCAGACACCTTTTCCTTCTTTCCCCAAATTTATATAGGACTTAGCATTGTAATTATAGTAAAGAATAATCCATGAGAAGTAGGATTCTAGCCAGGCATGGTGATGCTCACCTGTAATCCCTGCACTCAGGAGGTTGATACAGGAGTTGTTTGAGGCCAGTCTACACAGAATAGTGAGGCCTTACATCCTCCCACCCCCTCCAAAAAAACTTCCGAGAATCTCAAAGTCTTCTTGGGATGTTGTGTCTAAATGTTCAGCTATTCAATCTACTAAAGATGTTTTATGTGCCAGGTCTAAGGTAGGCAGAGGATATACAGAATCCCTGCCCTCAAGAAAGTAGCATTCTAGTGGGAGAGACAGCAGAAAGAAGATAGCTATAATATAATAAATACAGTTTTCAGCTGGTGCAAAATACCATGGAAAAAATAAAGCAAGATAAGGGAGATAGATATTGGGGGGAAGGTGCTTTTTTATATTCAGTCTATAAAAAGGAAAAGTGAGATGGTAGTATTTGAAGAGAGAGGTGAAAGAAACCACAAGGAGGGTGGGGTGGGGTGGATTGGAGAAGAGAGCGTTCCAGGCAGCAGCAAGTGGCGAATCCAAGGCTGCAAAGAGAGAGAGTACCTGGTTGGCCTGAGGACAGAGCATTGGGGTATCCGCTGTGTTTAGAGGTCAGGGGATGATTCTTGGAGGCCAGCAACTGGGTGTCAGAAGCAGTTTCCAGGCCAGGTATAGGCAGTAGTAACTAAGTTAGCTTTTGCTGATGGGTCAAGAAAATGAGAATGAGGAACTCTTAGACTTAGGAGACCCTGTTGACCTATTTCAGTGGAGTAGTGGGGACAAAATCCTCACTGAAGTAGGTTTGAGAGAATACACTGAACCTAGATAATCCTTTGGAGGATTTTGCTCCAAGAAGAGCAGAAAAATGGGAAGGGATCCAAAGAGAGACCAAGGGAGGGCTTTCCACAGATGGGAGGCATTAGTGTAAGACAATAGGCTGATGGGAATTGTCCACTAGCCAAAAAACAGCTGTTGATGCAGAAGAGGAGAGAGGAGCAGTGCAACACTGGAACTCATGAGCAGGCTTGTGAGGAGTGTGTTCATGTGCCAGGAACAGGAGTCACTCCCAGTGTCATGGAAGGAGGTAGAGTGTGTCCTTGAGCTAGATGCAGTCAGGCAGACAGAGAAGTCTGGAAAACCAAGTGGACCACCTAGGATATCAGCCTCCTTTTCCTGCCCTTTGATTTCTCCTTGCTCTGGCAACTGTGAATTTCCATTGCCAAGTTAGTTCAATTAGTGCCATGTCAAAATCTGGACGTCAAAAATTGCAAACAGAACCAGATGTGGTAATACACACCTGTAAGCTCAGCACTCAGAAGGCTGAGGCAGGAGGATGGCAAATTTGAGGCTAGCTTTGGCTATATAGCAAGACTGTCTCAAAAAAAAAAAGAAACTTAAAAACAGATCCTCTGAAAGTGTTTGAGGAACCTTGATGTAAAAGTGAAAATTATACAGAGAATTTAGTAGTATCATGACTGAAAGTGTTAGTGTATAAACAGTAGGTGCTCAATTTTAACTATTAGTGTGGAAAGACTTACCTTGGTAAATAAGCACTTAAAAATATCTATGCCAAAATAAAAACACACAGCTTTCCTGATTACAAAAGAAATACATGCTTGTTGTAAAATATCCAGTTTCAGAAGTATATTCTCAGACTGTCCCTAGCCCATTTTTGCCTTCCAAAGAGAACCACAATTAATAATTTGTAAAAATCCAACTTCCCATGTTTTTCTTCATGTATTTATACTTGATCAGTGTTTGCTTCCAACTTATTTGTTTGATCTATTTTTGACAGAGAACTGAATAAAAACTGCTAGGAACATTGAATTCCAAATTTAATTTACCAATACTTTTAAGTCAGCAGCCTTATAAATGCATGTGATTTAAGTTATGCAGATTAGAACAGCCTGCTTCAGAAGAATTTTAAGAAGGGCAAGACATAAAACTGACCTTTGTTGTAGAAGTACATGTTTCTTTGATACTGAAATAATGAATTGTCAGTCTCGGCTTCTGACTTGTAGGTTTTTGTGATTACTGAACAGTAAATACAATGCCACTTTAAGGATTTGCATATTTGATGAGATGATGGATTTCTAGTAAGCACAGCCTTGGGTACTTTTACAGGAGAATGAGGTACTGAGAGATAAGAGTGAAGCTGTGGATCATAGTTCCCAACATGAGGAAAGGGTGTCAGCCCAGAAGGGGAAATTCTTGCCGCAGAGTAATGAAGATGAAAACCGAATAGCAAATGAACCTGACCAGGAGGCAGAAAAAACCACTGAATCTAGAAATGAGGTAAGCACGTTAGAATGTTCCAGCCTTGCCATTTTGGCTTTCATGTACACTTTGTGATGTTGAGAATGAATTTTGCATGTTAAGTGTGCTCTTGTGGACTTAAAAAGAAATCAGCCTAGAGATTTGTTTTCTCTGGTTAAATTCAAGACTGTGTGCGTATACACACCAAACCCCTCCAGAAACTTGCTAGCAGGTTTCACTAGTTGTGTTTGCCAAGAAAAAGGATAAAGAGATTGCTAGCATTCTGGACCGAGAAATCCTTACCCCACCACCTGAAGAGGGAGCCAGGTTGGCTAGGTATGGAAGAGCAAGCCAGAACAAATCACCTGCCAGCAGGTCAAACCAAATCATTGGCATCTAACAGCCCATTTTGAACATCTGGCCTCAACTAAGAGGCCAAGCCCAATAGACCATCTTCTTGTCTCCTCATTGTCTCGCTACACTGTTCATCCAGAAGAAGAGTCAGGCTGAAGGGGTTGGTTCTTCCTGTAGCCTGTGCACACGCCCCTTCTTTCACATGGGCCATACTCTGGTCTCCACTCAGCTCTGCTAAGGTTCCATTGCACAGCCTGGCATGCAGGTGCTGTAGAGACAGACCTAGAGGTTCAGAGCTGTAGCCATCTGGTAATTTCCACCTGCCAGGTATACCATTGCAGTTCTCAGCCAGGTACTTTCTCCATAACCTGCTTCAGCATGGCCCCTCTTCAAGAGGTGGAGTTTGGGGCTAAGCCTTGAACACCCTTGGAGGATGGAGGGTACCATGTCTTGGTGCTTCTCAGACAGCTTATTATCACTTGGAGCCTTGACCCTGTAATATTACGTCAAATGTTACTTGATTTTATGGAGTGAAATCAGAAACGGCTTTCTTTGTTCTGTTGGTCTCCCTACCACTCCTGCCCCTTCCAGCCTGTTCTAACCTGTTCAAGAGGAACTAGTTCTTCCTGAACTTGGGTAAAAGCTGGGGCAGGCGCCATGACTTGTACATGACTTGCAGCAGCTATTAAGAATAATCCAGTGTAATTCTCAAAAGCTAAAATTCAGCTTCTTCCCTCCTCCTTTCTCATCTGCTGTACCCACGAGGCTGGCAAATCACTCTCAAGTGGAAAAGGGTGTCTGTGGCTACAGTTTGTTCTCCCCTGCTTATTAGGCTACTTTCCCTGGACTGGGGCTTTGGGGTGGGAACTCAGGAAAGGTGTTAATTGACTGGTTCCAACCCAACATTGTTTCCCCTTTACTTGATGGTGGGATACATTTAAAATTGTCAGATTGCATTTTGTAAGTTCTGTAGGGACCTGTGCCCCCATAGCTGGGAGCCCCTTCATCTGGTCGCCTTTTGACAGAGCGAGTGCTTCTCTGCCCCCAGATGGTCCTCGAGGGTTCATTTCTGAGTATTCAGTAGCATGCACACACCTTTCCAGGTGGCCCTGTCAACCACTTGTACGTGTGGCCCTGGACATGTACTCTTCACAGGGAACCCACACCTGGTTCTGAGTGTTCCACTTGAGGCCCTCCATGCTGTTCTTCACGGGAGAGGGAAGGATATGGACCTCACCACTTTCACTCCCTAACCGCTCCAGCTTTCCCTTCAATCCCACCTCTAAAATGCAGCATTACCTGGAACTGCCTGTGTTTGCCCAGCTAAGATTCTCCCCAAGTCCTCTCACTTATCTAGCCTTGTAATTCATGTAGCTTTTGTATGGCTTTACCACACACAGTATAGTTAAATTACCATATTGAAATACTGAAAGATCCATATTTATTTTAAAGGGGACATTTCGGTCCATTTTCCTTAGTGCCCCATAGCTATGTAAGGGAGAATTTGTTTTCACCACACTCTATCACGTACTTAATACTTAATTGTATACTGCCTCATGCTGTTGGCCACTTTTACTGCTGGGTATGTAAAATGTCTTTGCCTTCACTCCTTCACTGGGCTTTCCAGAAAAGCAAGAATTGTTTTCTTTTTTGAATTACCTATAGTAACTAATTCACTTTTCAACACGTAGTAGATGCTCACTTGAAGTTAATGAGGTAGACGAAGAACTTCCTTTGACATAAGTAAAATATAATTTAATGTAGGACAAGCTTTTGGGACAAAACTTTCCAGAAATACATTAATCACTCAGTGTAAGCCATTTATGCCTTAGTCCTTATCGACTCAGCTTCTCATTGTCACCTCATTCCTATCCTGTATGTTTCTAATAACATCTTTGTGTACTACAAATTGCATTTTTTTTTGGTGATGGGGTTTTATGTTGCTTAGTTGCTTAGTCTAGTCTCAGCTTGTGAACTCATGATCCTCTGGCCTCACCCCCTCCATTCTCTGGCATTTCTTGTAATAACAAACAATATTTCCCTTTTTATTAAGAAATTACTTATAGCTGCTTTTATAGTATATTGAAATAGAAATTGGGTGACAACCCTGGAAGAATACCTAGGACCACTAAATTTACTTATTAATAGTCTTTTTATTTTAGTGGTGCTGAGGTTTGCATTTGGGTTTTGTGCACAATTTCTAGTGGTCTCTGTTCAAAATGGAATGAATTCTTCATCTAAAATGGAACTGTGTGCTCTTTTTTTATATGCAGACTTGGAGGAATAATTTTAAGGTCTGACTTCATTTCCTGGCAATCTAAATTGAACTGAAAGTATAGAACAAGTCTTATGGATTAATGTTTTTAAATGGCTCAACTGACCATTTTTGAGATCTATATTCAATAAGAAAAAAATAAGCAATTAAAGTTTTGTGGCCAAGTTCTGTGAAGCCAAATATCTCAGCATTGTCCTATATAATTTCTTACACTGTGTCCAAACAGAATGTTTTCCATAGTGAAAATCCTCAAATAGAAGGCATGTCCTTCTATTTGACATACCTGAATAAAGGGATTTTTGTTTGAGACAGGATCTTTCCATATAGCTCAGGCTGACCTTGAACTTACAGTGCTCCTACTGCTTCCTAAATGCTGCAGTTACAGGTGTGCACCATTACGCCAGGCCTCAGATTTTTTTTTTTAAATAGCTTAGGGACGATTCAAGGGAAAGACCAAGGAACTGACAACATGAAGCAGTTACCACCATTAGGACAGAATGGAATCTAGGGAGAAAGAACACAGTGGGAACTGGAATCAGTGAGCCAGCAGAGCAGAGTTGTTGTCCCTAAGGGAATCAGTCTCTTTCCCCACCCTCCTATCTCTTAACTGTATGTCCTACGAACCCACCCACCACCCAACCTGGACTTTGGCGGGGGGAGGGGAGATAAGGGTTAGCTCCTCAGCCCTCTTTTTTGGATACAAGGTCTTGTTATGTAGACCAGGCTGGACTCAAACTTAATTCTCCATGCACCACCACGCCTGACTCTAAAACACATCTTTGCCTACCCTAAAGGACCAATCCATAACGCACTTTAAGTAAAATGATACTTATCCTATACTTCTGTTTTAATTGTTAAGGAAGTCTTTTTCTGCAAATATTATTTATCCACCAGTAAGGATTGCAGAAGTCCAGTAAGATTTGTGCTGACATTACCCATTCTCATCTATAATCATCAGCAAATTTTGGTCAACAGTTGGCCACTAACAGAAGTAACACAATACGTCTGAAAATTAAAAAATTAGTCATTTTAAATAATTCAGTTGGCAAAGCAGTTCACTATCTATTAAAATGTGTAATTTTTTTGTTTATGTGTAATTTTCTAGTTAAAAAAACAAAAAACCACTTAAAGATAATAGTCCTCTATAGCATCGATAGACATCAATACAGAAGTCTAATGTGTTATAGGCCCTAAAAGCATGGCTTCAGCCAGACACAGTGGCTCAAGCCTATAGTCCTAGCTACTCGGGAAGCAGAAATTGGGAGGATCACTGTTTGAGGATAGCTCAGGAAGAGTTGTGACTCCTGTCAGTGGTTGGGCACAGTGGTACATGCCTGTCATCCCCACTTCTCAGGGAAGCACAAATAAGTTCTCACTTTAAGCCGGGTCTTCTATGTCAAAAATAACCAAATGGGTAAAGGGCTGGCAGAGTGGCTCAAGTACTAGAGCACCTGCCTAGGCCCTGAGTTCAATTCTGAGCTCCACCTCCCACCAAAGTAAAACAGGATTATATGGGTAAAGGAACCCTAAAATAAACATTTAGGGGGTGGAAGTAATGTGCAGCACCTGAGTACCTCAGTGAGGCGCATGAGTTCACTGACATGTAAAAATACCCCCTGTGCACATAGCACAAGTGTAGATGACCTAAATGAATAGCAAGAAAGGGAATTTTATAGATACAAGAAAAAAAATATGATTGAATACTAAAGTTAACAGTTTTAAAGGAGTTGGAACCAGGTATCACGACAGAGACTGGGGTTGAGTGAATGGGATATGAGGCCTCACACCCATGCCTGGAAGTATGTGAGCTTCCTACCTAAAACTCAGAATGTTTTAAAGCTCTCAGGTCCAGGAAATGGGGACCTCAGAGTGGCCCCAAAGCTGATACAGGTTTTGAACCCATTCTGCCACCACAAGAAATCCTGAGCCAAGAACCAAAGGTTAGGAACTGATGTAAACACTGGCCCTCGGAGACAAAAATGCACTGCCTCATACTTAGCAGTCCTAGCTTGGTGTGGGTGAGATTCATGTAGAAGTAGCTTCCAACAAAAGCTCAACTCACCTTTTAAAAATTACAAATGACATGCAGAAATAAGTAGCCATGAGTTGGCATGTGCAAAAAAATGTCAGGATTCACAAAGTCTGTGAAAAAGATCCTAAAATCAAGATGAAAGAACAAAATCTATAAGACCAGACTATAGTGGAAAAAAAAAAAGTGGAGCATAGATCCCCAATGAAATTCTAGAGTTAAAAAAAAGTGTAGTCACTTTAAAAGTTCAATGGAAGGTGTAAAAAGATTAGTTATCAGTAAAGAAAGGGGTGTACTGAGAGAAAGAAATTACACAAAATGTATCAGAGGGTGCAAAATATGAAAGGAAAATTAAACTAGAAAATAAAAGAAAAACTATTTAAAATGAGCTTATGGCAAAATATTTCCAGAATTAAATCCTCAAATTAGAATAGTACATAGTTCCAGTCAGAGTAAATAAAAACAAATTAAGTCTCTAATATATGAAAGCAAAACCATCAGAAACTAAAAAAAAAAAAATCTAAAATTACATGAGGAAAAAGGTTCACTATAAATAACAACTTAGAGCAAGCTTTATAAATGCCCTAAAATAAAGTACTGGGGAAAAACATCAAAGCTGGCATGTGTACCAGTTAGTACCATCATTTAAACGTGAAGACAAGATAATTCCAGTATATAAAAACTAAGTGTTCACTATTCAGATCTGATGTCAAAGGAGTTCTTTGAAACAGTAAATTGGTAGACATTTGGGTAAATGTAAATAATTTTGTAAATAGTTGGGAGGGCTGGCTATGAATGGACAAAATAAGGTGGAACTAAAAATGGTAGCCAAACATATATACAGAAGATGGTTAGAGCCCAAGAATAGCAGAGGAGCCAAGCATGGGTGGCTCATCCCTATAATCCTAGCTACTTAGGGGCAGAGATCAGAAAGATGGACCAACCTGGACAGTTTTCACAACCCTATCTCAAAAATACCTAACACAAAAGAGGACTGGCAGAGTGGCTTAAGTGATGAAGGCCCTGAGTTCAAACCCTGCCGTACCACCAAAAAGAAATAGGCGTTTGGAATTCAACAGTCCTTGATTGAAAGATACTAACAGGGGGACTCCCAAGTGAGGAGAGTAAGACCTAGTTAACCTTTAAAAATTAAGCTTTGGGCTAGTGGAGTGGCTCAAGTGGTAGAACGCCTAACTAACAAGTATGAGGCCCTTAGTTCAAACCCCAGTACCACCAAAAAAATAAAAGTTAAACCTAAAGCTTCAGGCAATCAGTTTGGTTATTTAAAGAATAACACATCTTTTGTTTTTCTACAGAGACATTTAAATTGGACAGATATATCCTTCTCTCTGGAAGACTTTTTTCAGCTGCTTTCATCACAGCATGACTGTTCCCTGGAGGTAACTGGAACCTTGGCTTTTATCCTTGCAGGAACAAATCTGCACTGACCTATGGGAATAAATGGAACCCTTTTATTTGGATGACACTGCAGTTTAACAGTACTATTAAGAGCATTTTTAGCACTAACTTTTGTTTTTTTATAGTAACATGTATACCATTCCTCCTGAATAAACTCAAGGTAGTCAGGTTTAAACCATTCATATTGAAGAAAAATTCAAGTAACCATTTGAAAAACTAGTGTAGCTCTAGTAGCATTTGTAATAATTTATATGTTTTTTGTTTTTGTGGTTCTGGCGGTTGAACTCAGGGCCTTCAGGCTTGCTAGGCAGGTACTATTACCATTTGGGCATGCCTCCAGCCCTAAGGAATCTTTTAAACCACCTCTTCCCTTCACAGACTGCTTCACCTGCTTATTATCCCTGACCTTCCACAATGGGAATTTTAGATTGCTAATAGCTAGGATGAGATGTTGAACCTTACAGTAAATTGCAAGATTCCTAGATTTAATAACTTTATACTGACCTAATTTTTTTAAATTTCTAGATTATTTAGAAGTTATTTTCCCAAGCAACAGTATATTCTAATTTGGGGTCATATCACACATTGCATTGTATTTTACCCAATACCACATCCCTATCAATATAGCAGAACTGACAAAATGGTTATAATGACAATTTGAAATAGTGTTGCATATACTTCAAGTGCCTTTTCCCCCATTCTTTTTCAGGGAAACTCATTGGAAGATATCCCACCTTTTCCAGGTAGTGTCAATGATGGCATGAATTCTTCAGCATATGATTGTAGTGTAAATCTTAGCCAGGCTATAAGTCATGATGTGAATCTTCATGAAGCCCTGTTGCTGTGTTCCAACAACACATTTAGAAGAGATCCAGTAGTAAGAACTTCACAAGCTCAAGAACCATTTCTGCAGTTGAATTCTCATACCAATCCTGAGCAAGCCCTTCCTGAAACTAGTTTGACAGGGTATCTTCCACCTGTTGACAATCTGATGCGGACTGCAGTAAGCCAAGACCTCCTCTATGACCTTGATGCAAACATACTTGATGAAATAAACTTAATGTCTTTGGCCACAGAGGAAGGTTTTGATCCACTGGAAGTTTCTCAGCTTTTTGAAGAACCAGATTCTGATTCTGGCCTTTCCTTGAATTCAAGTCACAATAGCACATCTAGCACAAAGTGTAACTCTTCTCACTATATGTATGATGGTGCTACAGGTCATAGTAGTGAGCTTGAATCTCTTTCCCGTCATGATTTAGAAGGGGCTGTAGGCGGCTACCCAGAACCCAGTGGTAAATTTTGTCATGTGGATCATAGGAACGCATCTAATTTTCAAGGGGATCTTGATTTTCAACACATATTTCATAACCATACTTACCACTTACGGCCAAATGCACCAGAAGAACCCACTTCTGAATCTTTTTCATGGCCTAGAAAGTCACAGAAAAGGAGTAGGAATCTGGATGACACAGGCAGAAATCTGAGCCGTGATGAACGGCGGGCTAAAGCTCTACATATTCCTTTTTCTGTAGATGAAATTGTCCGCATGCCAGTTGACTCTTTCAACAACATGTTAAGCAGGTATTACCTGACAGACTTACAAGTCTCACTCATCCGTGATATCAGACGAAGAGGGAAAAATAAAGTCGCTGCTCAGAACTGCCGTAAACGCAAATTGGACATCATTTTGAATCTAGAAAATGACATATGTAACTTGCAGGCAAAGAAGGAAACCCTTAAAAGAGAACGAGCTCAATGTAATAAAGCTATTGACCTAATGAAACAGAAACTGCATAACCTTTATCATGATGTTTTTAGCCAGTTAAGGGATGACCAAGGAAGGCCAGTCAACCCAAACCACTATGCACTTCAATGCAGTCATGATGGAACTGTTTTGATCGTACCTAAAGAACTAGTGATGTCAGGCCACAAAAAGGAAGTCCAAAAGGGAAAAAGAAAGAGTGAGAGAAGAAACTGAAGTTATACTCCATTTATGTGGAGAATGTCCTAAAATTCATTCCTTGTACCACAAACCATTGAAACGGTTTCAAAGTTTAATTCTTATGATTAGGACTCTTAACTGTTCTATCTTGGTATTTTATTCAAGTGTTGTATTTCTGATCACTACTACTTGAAATCAGGTTAAGAACACTTCTGAAGTTGAGGGGAAGGGAAGTCCTGTATTATGTGCAAGACCCATAAACAGTGGTATTTAATTTGGAAACCAGTAGAAATTTCTAGTCACTTCAATGGCAGTAAGTAGGATGGTCCTTCAGTAAAAGCAAATGGGAGGGGTATCTAATTATTTAAGAAATGCACAGTAGCTTTAACATCATTTGTTAGCTATTTTAATTTTTGTGATACTTAACTTGTAAAAAAACGAGCTTTTATATTTGAAATTAAAAAGAATCTTCCTTTTATACAGAAATTCCAAGTCCAAAGTTTTTTTCCCTTCAAAATACCCACATTCAGTAGAATATCTAGAAAACATAGTAGCAGGGTAATTTTAAATTCATACAAATTAATCAGACTCAAATTGGGATCAACATAATATGCCAAATACAGAGCTTTAAAATACTGAGTACATCAGACATTAATGCCTGAAAGCAAAGACCTGTAAGTTACTGGGAGTTTAGGCCAGTCTTATAGCCTATATCTGCCTTTGGAGACATACATATTAAGAAACCCAGAGTCCCTGACAACAGTAAAACCAACCTAAATTTCTTGGAAGCACTGGAGTTTGAACTAGGCATTTTTGCATTTGCTAGGCAGGTGCTCTACTATTTAAACCTCAAGTGTGGCTCCTAAAATACTTTGATCTCACCCAAACTGTTGTGCCATAAAAAAATAAGCCATGAAAACAAACAGCAGTAAATGGATTAGTAAAGAACCAGAAGTATTAAAAGGCTTTTAAATGGGCAAAAGTAGCATAAGAAAAACAGGTGGACTTGGAAAATAAAATAATCCTGCAGTGAATGAGATGAAAATTCCACTTAATGAGTCACTTGGACAGGAGGCAGTATTATGAAGTTAGATTATAACCCAGATTGTTTTAGGATCAAGATTTTAACATGTACACTAAATACTTTATAGCAATGTTACCAGAAACAAGATTGTTGTGCTATTTCTGCCATAAAAATCAGTCTTCCAAGGTGGAATATCACAAAGCCATACCTTGTGGTTTACAGAAATAGTGCTTATGCTTTTTTTTTTTTTAAACATTTCTCCCATTCTTAAGGCACTTCTTTCAAGCCTACAATTTGCCATCAAATGCTTCTAGATACAAACATCACCCTTCAAATAGTTTTGCTCAATGATCTACATAGTTCAGTCTGACAGGTTGCTTTCCTCAAGCACCATTTGGGTGTCAAACTTTCGTAGGTTACAATTGGCAGATCGAATTCTGGAAAATATCATATCAGTGTTAAGTATCAAAATATTCTTCTGGACTTGGTAAAGTAATACCAATGCACAAATACCAGCTTTAAGCTATTAGGAAAACATGCCCAAAGGCGATGGCAGCACTACGGCGCAGTTTAGTATTTGGTATAGGGCTAAGCAAACAAACAAGAACTGCAGAGCCTGTTTATTAAGCAGATTTTTCAGTCTATAAATCATTTGGCCTTAAAAGTGAATTAAGTTAGCAACCTTCTGTCCTCCTCCCTCCCCCGAGTTTTATTTGTCCCAATCTTCCAACTGCATCAAGGTGTTCCCCTTATGCAAATTAAGATTGTAATTCATGAAATGATCCCTGTCAAAGTTACATTTTAAAATTGGAGTTAATCTGGTTAAACCATCCAATATTCTGGCCATGTCATCTTAAAACCATTTCCTTCTAGAGGTAATCAACCAGCTAGGTGTAAACCTATCTTCGTAGGTTAAGACCAAATTCTGTCAGTCCTGTGCTATGTGCAATCAAGACCTTCTGGATGCTTGTACACCTACCTACAGAACAGAGAATGTAAGACAACCACAGATACAGCTTTCTTTCCCCACTCAGTCCCAGTATGTTCTACTCACCTTGCAGGCTTCATTTGTTACCCCCAACCCTGCAAACTCTTAACTCCCATAATCTGCAGCCCAAAGTACTGGATGGGTAGCTGAGCACCACTAACAATGTATGTATGGCACATCAACTCCCTGAATATGTTAAGCTCCAAACCTTGATTGTAGACTTAAAAAAGGCCGAGAATTCCTCTCCAAAGACTTCGGAACTACCAGTTACCATTAGCAACTTAGATTTGCTCCATTTAGAGACTGTTAAGACCAAATCCACCACATACTGACCAAGCTTGCTTTCAAAGTAAAAGCACCCAATGTGGTAGCCAGCTTCAAACACTTCTAATGATCCGACTCTTGGTAATCATGCAAGTGAGTTTTCTTATGTGACACGAAGGTTTGAACTCATAACCTTATGCTTGCATGGCAGGTGCTTTTACCCGAGCCACTCTGCCAGCCCTCCTGTATTGTGTAACCAATAGTCTGGACATAATTTATAGGTCTTCCTCTTATCTGGGGAAAGGACACAGAGTAACATTTACAACCCTATTGGGTGGCCATTTTTAATGAAATTCTTTAACTTCCCACAGGTGTAGAGCAAGGTTGTTTCCTGTGCCAAGCTGTTCCCATGTACAGTTAGTATGGGGGGAAAGAGTGGGTGGTGGTAAAGGAAAACAAAGGGTTGAGTCTCTCACCCCCTTTAGAAAACACATTAAATGTCACATTAACAAAAATTAATTTGTAAGAGAAAATAGCTTAATTCAGGACAAAGATAAGCCACCTATGTTGAAAACCCAGTAATTATCTTGTCTTATTAAAGCCTTTATTTCCAGTTTATTTCCATTATGGATTACTCAAACTTTTCCCTATTTCTTGCAGTATTCCCTTGATTTTGCTGTTGGGTGTTTTGAGATGGGTTGTAACACCAACGTGAAAGTCAACTTCTGTGTAGAGCCATTTTTTGAGCCTTCAAACTTTCCCTGAAGAACTAAAAGCCAAGTTTTATGCTGTTTGTAGCTGCTGACAGGTGGAGTTAGTATTTTAAATAAGTTATTGGAACTCATAACACTGTTAACTCAATCCGACTTACCTGTGACCTTAAGACGAAAGAAACTAGTTAAACCAAGGTAATTGTTCTTTTCAGGTTTAAGTGAGGTCAGTGCCTAAATAGTTAAGTTCCCATTTTTGCATTTACCCACACAACTAGGCTCTTCAAAGACCACCACCACCATTCACTACCAAGTGGAAACTGCAATGAAATTACAATTCACAAACCAGTATGCCAGATTTTGTCTCCATGCTTTGCACAAGCCAGTTAATACAGACCACCCTAGCTGGTTTAAAATCCATGGTTTCAAAATGCCACCAATGGCAGACATAAAGCAAATTGTAGCCATATTCAAACGCTGAATATACAGTGCATAAAAAAATAGCATTTTATTAGGGACAGCCAAGAATGTCCACACTGCTTTCCCCGGGTCTACTAATATTCAAGAAAAAATGGAAATATGCATAGTTTACTTGAAACTGCTTTAAAATTATCTGGCGATCTTGTAGACAACTGATGTTGATAGAACAAGATTCACACCGTTTGTGTAATCATTACACCAAGGTATTTGAATACAAAAGTATTTATTTTATAAAATTTGTATTTAAAATAAACTTTATAATCTGTCTACTCACAAAACCTAATTTAAAACATGATACATTTCTCTCTAGCTGACTTGATGTTACTTTTTTACAAACACTCATTTTGTAATTATTTTATCAAGAACCTGTACTAAATGAAGATTTTGTTTTATCAGAAAACATTTCCCTTTTATCTTAAAGAGTGCTTCTTAAATGAAGGCACCAACAAGAACTACTTTCAGATGGTACAGAATTTCTTATTTCTTGAAGACTCTGTGGTTGACCACTTCTTCATTAGTTACCTGCAGCAAGACACCTTCCTGCCAAAGGAAAAAAAAAGTATCTGAAGAAGTTTATCATGTTTGTCCAAAGAACCTAAATAACTTCAGTGGTGGTCTTAGGATCAAAGAAGACTCACTGGTGCATACAGTAGAATAAGCCCTGAGTATCACTTTCCTGAAAAGGCAATAAAGCCAGGAAGTCAAACTCTGAGGATAGTTAAGAAATGAAGTTTCAGCAGCCAACCTACAGCTGTTTAGGGTAGGGCCCTGGCCAAGAATTACCACATTTGAACCCAATTATTTAGACCTGGATAATTTACAATGTAGACAGTTCACTGAAGTTTAAACTATTATCTGAAAATAGATTTAACCACTTTACCCTACCTTCTCTGTCAGCCTCATCCTGATAAGCATGTAAAGCTAGAACCATAGAAGTATAGAAAATGTCTTTAAAACCCTAGTACACTTGAAATGCTTGATCCAAGAAATGTGAATGAATACACAGGGTGTTAAATGATGGGAAATCTCATTTATTGAACTTGCAGCCTAACTTTTACCTACCATTTTACTACCAACACCACTGAAGGAACCAAGAAAAGCTTTATTAATGATCACTTGGCTTGCCTCAGCTGTTGAAATGAAGCACTTTACAGTCTTTGTGGCAGCAGAATATACTTGTCCATGGTTCATATCAATGCTAAAATTCCAGCAGGGAAAAAAATGATATGTTAAGCACCTGAATCTTCATGGAGAGGGAGGGGGTGGGAAAGAAGGAAAAAAAGGGAAAAAACAACCAAAATAATTTAAGTAAATGACAGATTGGAAAACAGGGTTTATAAAAATTATTCTCTTGAGTTTATAAATTGTTAAACTCAATTTATAGCTATGTTAAACTACGTAAGAACCACTATACTGAAAGACCATTGAAGAGTTATTAGTTTATCTTTTAGGGAGGAAAATTAAGAAAGAAAAAGTAAATAAGATCTTACCTAAAGAAGTTTAACTGAAGCTTAGAACTATTTTGCTCTACACCCTCAGCTTTCGTTGGCATCCTTATAAACTACTGTAGTTAAAGCTTTGTAGAAACAGCACAGTTTTTTAAGACTGGCTGAATTTAGTAGCCGTCAAGAGTTCTCTTGTACTAGACCTGTGTCCCTGAAGAGTACCTCGCTGGGATTATTTCCTTTCCTTGCATTGAAGAAGCAGCATCTAAAAGATCTAAAAAGGTGTTTCTCCTTGCAGAGATATCCCTTAAGTTATCTAGGTAATTTAATCCTGATGAATTGCAGACAACACACTTATATCTGACCAGCATTTATCTTACACAAATATAACAACAACTTTGCAATGGACCTTAATTATACTACCCACTCCTTAACTTATTTAAAATAAAAAGTCTATAATTACACAATTTCCTTTAGAATTATTTTATTAAATCATAAATGTACAACAGCTTCTTAACTCTACACACGCACTTAAATTTTTTAAAGGAAAAACGTTATGTCTTATTACACCATGATCCTGGCTAATAGCTTTTCAAAACTTTTGAGAAAAATCTTAAAAAAGGTTTCACATGTCACCTGAAACTTACAAATTTAACATTATCAAAGAAGGAATGCTTCTACACTCTTACAAAGACCACTAGAAAGAAACAACAATTAAAAAGCTAAGAAACTGTCTCAAAGGCATTTTTTTTTTTTACAATCCTTCCTCCACAGTAAGGTAAGTGTTATTAAATAATCCAATCCATTCACAAAATGGCTCTCTGCATCTGCTCTGGTGTGTCTTCTGCCATATCACTGCATATTTATGCATGACTGAGATAAGAGTTTCCTTAACATTGTTATTTCGATAACCTGAAGCTGTTCTGTTACCTCTGGGCTCTCATCCTCTCCTATTTATACAGTGAAGCCTGTTTCAACAGAAGTAAAGAGTAAAAAAAAATAGGTTATGAAATTATCCATCTAACCAGATTTTAAGGAAAGATAACATGATCCTAAAAAGCTTTTTACTCCTGCAGCTAGGTCTCCCAAGTCAATAATAATTGTAAAACTCAAAAACTACTTACCCATGGCAAATGGGAAGAAGCTCAGTATCGGCTCCTCCCACCATAACCCCCACTTCCTCCACTGCCTCCTGGACCATAGTTTCCTAGAATGGTTGGACAGCAAAAGAAAGCATACTTAACTTTGATCTTCCATAATCAATACATTTGTTATAGTTGATTTTATTTCACAGCTAACTGCTCTTAAATTAGACGATAGCCTTCGTATCCAAAAATAACTTGGGTGCTATGAAAATACTGTAATGACCTTTTTTTTGGTGGTCCTGGGATTTGAACTCAGGGTCTACACCTTGAGTCACTCCACCAGCCCTTTTTTCTTTTTTTTCATTTTTCTTTTATTATTCACATGTGCATACAAGGCTTGGTTCATTTCTCCCCCCTGCCCC